AGAAACAACATGTTGTTTTGTCTTTCTGAGGATATGATCGTGGGTCCGTATATTGTGTTTTACGCTCTGTGTGTTTCATTGTCTGACTTCATGTCTGTGTTGTCATATTCTGTCCAGCTCGACGCGTGCCTGCAGCATACTACGTCGATAAAAATTGACATTCAGCGTATTGGAAACGGAGCAGAGCGTAGTGGCGCTGGTGGAACGCTCCTTAGACGGACCGCGTCGCTCGCTGTGGAAACACAATGATTGACTGGAGTGGCCGGGAACTACGGTGTAGTGCGCTGATGGACCGCGGCATGCACGGAGTATGTGGAAATTGGGGGTTTCCGCCAGACTTTTACCTCCCACAGAGAAGTCAAAACACCATCAATAAGACTGAAGATAGTGGTCTAAAGGGGACTTTGGAGGAATTGAAGTGAAAGTTTGGTTCCCCTCAAATTTAGGATTTTTTTCAGTAATCTGCTGAGTTACATGCTCAGCTGCAGTCAGAAATGAAAACAGCCGAAAAATCTTCCTTCCTTAAAACTACAAAATGTCAAACAATACTTTTTTTTATAAACCAGCATAAATTAACATTCTTATTTTCTTACTAAGTATTAGTCACACCATTATTGTCTTGTTCTGCTGGTCTGTCATCAGACATTTGATAATACAAACTGTTCAAAGCACTTTGTTTTATTCTCATTAGAGGAGCATAGATTCTTCTAATCATCATACCAGCATAGATACCACACCAGTAGCATATTTGCTGCTTGTATCGGAGAAACATACACCATCGTGAAAAGGTAAACTCTCTCTGAATGTTCACCTCGTATGATAGTTCAGTCAATGTGATTGGTGGCCAATTGATGGTTTACTCCTCACAGGAGAAGGGTTTGACATGTAAAACAAACAAATCTATTGAATACCATTTAAAAAGGTTTGAAGGTACAAAGGAAATGGCTTGACATGCATGCTAGCATTTAGTTTACACTCAGAGTCTTTGTTTCCTACTAAAGCCTAAAACGGAGGGGTTATTTTTCATCTGATTTCATTGATATGTCATCAGATCCAACCTTGAACCTAGATCTAGTGTTTCAGTGAAATGTTGGCTGAATGTATTATTGCATCTCTTCCTGTTGCAGACGGCTGTGTAGGGGGGGTTGATGTGCTCAGAATTTAATTTGTTCATCCGATGCTGTGTGCTCGGTGGAGGCTAAAGCAAATGATCCACTAACAAAGGTTATTTTTGTTTTTGTTCATACAAACCAGAAGAAAATGTGTCCCACAGTGAAGAGACTTTGGCCTTAAGTCAGAGTTTAATTAATGAAGAAAGAGAGAGAAAAACTTGACATCTTTAACATCTCACACCTTTTAGCTGCACAACAATCCTGAGGAGGAAGAGAGGAGATTGTGAGATTGTTAAACCCACCAGAGGAAATTTACTCGATGGTGTAGAAATAGAGGGAGAAGAAAGAGAGCGAGGAACAACAGAGAGAGCAGACCAGACAAGCAGGAGGAGGAAAAAAGGCCAAGTATCAGACAGAGCATTCATTATCACCTGACTGACCTGCATATTGCTCTGCGTGAGAGTAATGGGAAAGGACACACTCATCGGCTGAAAACCCAGCAAGAAAGGCGCTTTTTATCCCCCTCTCTCTCCACACTCTTCAGTAATCTGTCACTTTCTTACTCAGTTCAATTTCTATCCTCAGACAGTGTGCTGCAGGAGCCCACTGTATGTACTAAATACAATAACAGCTCAGTAATTGAAGGCTTTATGAAATTAATGTTGAATAGCCTATATAACAGTTGTTCTTTAATGGCTAATTGTTCTTGATTAGAATATTTGGCACTTATTTCAAATAATTGACCATTTTTTGTATTGTGCACATCAAGTGCATATTATACATAGAGTGGCAGGAAACTTCTAAGAGACAATTAAAGAATATTATACTTCCGTTTATGCATTGCAAGCATACTTGCAATGACAATGCTATCATTCTGATGTAAAGCAGATGCAATGGTTACCTTTTTCAACATCTTGGGTTAGTGTGTTAGCAAACTCATATTTGCTAGTTACAAATAGCAAAAGGGACTGCCCAGGGCAATGGCAATGTAATTTGCTCCTTAGAAAAGTGTATAAAAATTGCCTGTAAAAAGTGGCCTTGAGTGAGCGTTAATCCTATAAAAACACCTCTTAACAAGAGAGAAGAGTGAGAGAGACAAAGGGGATGAGTGAGGAAGGTAAAGAAGAGGGAATGACTTTGACAATTTGGCTGGTGGCTGGTAGAAAAAAAGTGAAATTTATAGTTGAGGATACTGACATTTTGCTTGCTGGTCTGCACTTTTTTAGGTATTCATCAGCCTGTTTACATCAGGGACTAGTTTCTGAACAGCTGCGTTTTCAAAAATATTTCGATTTATAAAATCTAATGTAATTATTTTTCAAATGTTCCCCCTTCTCCCACAAAACGCCTCACGGGTCAGATGAAACCTGCTAGCGGACCAGATTTTGGGTCGAATTTATTATCTGTAAACCATTAGTGTCAGTGCAAGTTATAGTAATCTATCTACTAGCTGTTAAAGAGCCCATATTATGCCCTTTTTGGGGTTCGTATATTTAATCTATGTAACTACGAAAGTATGTTCACGATAGCTAAAGTTCGAAAAAAGTGTCTGTTTTCATGTACTGCCGCTCCATGCTCAGCTCGCTTCTGACTCTCTTTCTAAGGCTCTGAAGTGCCCACGTTCAGAGTCCCCACGTGTGCCAAGTCTGATCTGATTGGTCGGCCTGTCGGCTCTGTCAGTCGCTCAGCCACTCTGGCTCCGAGGGCCGGGGAGCAAAAACCTTAGCACCACTGTGCTACCACAGGCTACGGCATATCGTGGGCGTGCCACAGAAGTTAACAGGCATACAACATGAGCTGCTGGGCTTGCCACAACGAGTCAATGGGCTTAGATCAGTGATCTCACACTGACAAATTTTTTTTGAGGGGGGCTAGAACCGAGCGTTACATACAGCTAATGCTGCAGCTAACAGGAGGACGTAGGAGAAGTCGCGTTTCTGCTGAATTTTTCAAATAGATGTGCCTAAACATGCACAGAGAAAACACACTAAAGAGCATATAAAACCAGAAAAAGCCTAATATGGGACCTTTAAGATATTTCAGACAATAACAAACTGGTGGACTGACTTTCCAACCTCTGACAGATGTATAGCCTCTCTAGGAGGCTCGCTTACAAAACAGCGACAAAAACGGCTCCTCCTTACTTTAACTCTCTCATCCAGGTCTACACTCCCTCTCGCCCACTACGCTCTGCCAATGAAAGGCGTCTGATCCAATCTTCACAACAGGGCCCTAAGTCTCTGACTAGACTCTTCTCCTCTGTTGCCCCCCGGTGGTGGAATGAACTTCCAAACTCCATTCGATCGGCAGAGCCCCTCTGCACCTTTAAGAAAAAGCTAAGAGCTAAGAAAAAGCTCTTTCATGAATACCTACTAACTTAATGATGATGGTCTCGATATTATTGATGATGATGATGATGGTTGTGATGATGGTTTTTGTTTGATAACGGCGACTTATAAGATGGTTTCTATACTGATTAGAGCTCTCAAGAACTGCCGTCAATGTTGTGCTTTGCCTCTGTGCAATGCCTGTCAGCACCTGTGTGTCCAATCGGACTCAAAGCTGATCATTTGCTCTTACTGACATTGTTCCCTTTTTTCTAGATCCTTGCTTGTGTTGTACTCACTCTCTGATGTACGTCGCTTTGGATAAAAGCGTCTGCTAAGTGAATTGTAGAATTGTAGGAGCATCATTGTCTCCAATGTAGCTGAAAACCGGATCGTTGTATCTGCCACTTATTACAAAAAGTGTCAGAAACTCAAAACACTATAACAGTTCATAATTATTTCAAGAGGGAAACTAATACAATCTATAAATAACTGCAAAACTATGTGAGCGACATATACAAGAGTACAAACTATACTTGAAGTAAACTACACCTCCCACTGAGAGCTCCATTCTCTGCCTGACCTGCTTTCTAAATCATTGGTGAGAAGGATCCACAGAACATTTGCCAATGATCATCATCAACATCAGTCATGCTGCTTGGCGCACAAACAAATGTCCATTGGGACAGTATATAGTTTATCTTGTGCAAACTGAAGTCTAAGTAGGGTAAATATCTTATATTGCAAAACGGAATTTTGACTTTCAAGTATATAAAAAAACGTATGGGTTGAAACTTTCCCTAGATGCCACTAGACATGCAGTTTCTTTTGGAAAGCCAGACTATTCCTCAGTGCCGTCAGTATCTGACTTCAAAAGAAGACTACTGTATTGGCTTAAGGAAAGTAACCGGCTGCAATCAGTTGCTAACTACTTCTACACAATCCCAATAATTGTACGTATTATTCTTGTTAGCATATCTAGGTTGACAAACAAAATGATGAGCTTCCTCTGACTTTTGTGACAGTGTGTGTGTGTGTGTGTGTGTGTGTGTGTGTGTGTGTGTGTGTGTGTGTGTGTGTGTGTGTGTGTGTGTATGCGCGCTACTATGTGCTCTCCATGTCAGAATCACATGTGTAGCTCTGAATGAGATCAATAAATTGATTCAAAGGCCTTGACACCAATAACAGCAGATTGTGATGTCTGCACAAAAAGAGGCAGAGGAATACGGGGAAAAACTAGATACGATTATGGAAAAATATTTGAAATCCACCAAGCAGTAAGACAGGTTTAAAGGTTAAGGAAGGTTAGAGGATGAAGATCTGATGAGATAGATTCAAAATAAGACCTTTAGAAGGTGCACTGACTGTGTTGTTTGTGTGTATACGAAAACTTCTTTGTGAAATGAAAACCCAGCAGTTATTAGACTGGCTATTTTTGCTGCCCTAGAACAAAGCCCAGAAACGCTTGAATTTTAAGTACACACAGACACACACAGACACACACAGACACACGCACACACACACACAGACACACACACACACACGCACACACACGTCTTACCGTTGACTCGGCTTGATCTGTAGTCATTGTACATCCTAGTCATGCGGGGTTGTTGTGTGAAATCTCAGTTTCTCAAGGAATCTGTTTTGAAAACAAAACCAACAAGAAAAAAGTCAGCTCATTCTCTGTTTGTCCAGCACATTGAAACACCACACAAGAGCATGTATTACGCCACAATTTTGCAGGCCGACATTTTTCACATTTTAGTCACACAAGGACACTGACCTTGTTAAGAAGGGCTAAAATAAAGGGGCTTTGTCTTGTAAAGAGAAAGGAGAAAAACAGCAGAGAATGTAATTCATCCACTTCTCTTTGTGAAGCAGAAGCCCATCAGAGCCGGAGATGGCTCTGAGGCGAGGGAGAGTCCCATTGACCGCCCTATTAACACTTAAACTGGGTGGATCAGCTTAGAGGAAACACAAAATGCTGCCAGGATGTACAGAGAATTTTATAATACATTTCATTCCACCAAGAGGAGCCCTGAGGGCGCCGTGATGACCAGAGTAATTGGCTTTCTCCAGCTATGATAATCTGCATCAGTCACGGCATGCCAACAGTCTCTAAGGCCACTCAGAAGGTCATAGTGATCCACAAACCTCCCTCTGACTATAGAGACCCTGAGTTTCTATTAAAGGAAACACAAGTAACACATTTATTCTGCATTTCTGGTATTTTAACTTTAATTAAGGAACTCTACCAAGCATTGTTTCCTACACATAGATGTATATTCTGTACATATTTACAGACTTAAAAAAAAAACAAATCTGCACTCACTAGAGAGAAAGACCGAGTGTGACAGAGCACGCTGAAACACTGCACGGATATTGACAACGTCCTGGCCTCACTTAATCCACAGATTTTGCAATGCAAATCTGTGCCCAGAGTTTTCAAATCTGGAAGCACAGTTTAGGACAACATCCCCATAGATTGCAGATTCATGCACATGGATCTGCCAACTGTGGGAACGAACTTGCGGACATCTTTTTAATTATTTCTTGACTGAGCCTTAGGGGGGGCTCCGTGCAACACAACAAAACTCCTGTTTTGGGTTTCAATCCTTTATCACAACAGGAGAGCCTCGCGTGGGGAGGCTTGTTATTCAGTTGTGGCAAAACCAAGAGAGAGCAGAATCACACCATGCAGCAGCAGAGAGGACGCCTGCATGTCCCTCCCATAAGTTCACCGACTGCTCATGTCAAAACTGGAGCTTCTCATGCCTTCATTTTAACATAACTAACTAGTTTAGGATGATTGTTACGATGCAATCATGGATAGGCCTCCTCATATGCAGATCACCCGATGAATAAGGCACTAGCGGCTGCTAGTGTGTGTGGATATGAGAATGGATGGGGAACAGAAGTGGGACAAGCTGAGTAAAGTTGTTTGTTACACAAACTAAAATGAGTGTCAATTCCACTTCCCAGGTACAGCATGGAAAAACACTTCCAGGTATGCTTTTAGTCAAAGTTTGCTTTGATTCACGTTTGGAATTGAATTTACTGTCTCTACATAACACCTAACTAATGACATCAATCATACACAAGGAGGGGTGAAACGATGAGTTGACAAATTTACAAATTTTAGGATAATTCATTGATAGCAATTGTGCACACAGTTGAAGTCAATTAAAAGTGAATAATTACAAACACTCTTGTTTAGGTTACACAATGTTTAAATGTTAGGCTATGCATAATGAATAATAATACTCCCCCTTTCACAGAAAGTGGAACCCTCCACCACTATATCTCATGTCACAGCTCTAGTAGGATTTTAGTGCATCAGCTCTGTTATTCTCTTCCTAACGTGTCGGCTAGTGATAAGATGTTTATCACGCATCCACACCTGTCATGTAGGTACGTTAATGCTGACACACTGAATATGACAGGCATAATAAGCTCTTGGCACACACAAACACATCTTCATGGCAGCTTTAAAAGCCAGTGTGTGTGTGTGTGTGTGTCTCAAACTGCTCTTTTCAAGCCACACAACAGATGAGAAGCTCACAGGCTGTAGTTCAACATGAGGAGGGAACACACTGTACAAACTGTGTTACTTTTTTACTAAAAGTGCACCTTTCACCTTCTACACTAATGGCAGTCTGCGTACAGTTATGTTAGAAGTTGAAAGAACCTGCTGGAGAATTTGTCTCAGGTCATACACAGTTTATCATTTAGCATTTGTGATTAGTTGCAAAGCTTCTAGAGGGCGAGTCTTACTTAGGTGGAGCCTATTGAAGGGCAGACAAAAGACAGTCGAGGTTGATGTGCTGCAGATGATCACAAAAAAAACATTTAGGTGAGAATATGGACAATGAACAGCTGCCTCATGTACTTTATTTAGTTTCTGTTAGTGTTCGTTTGTGCATCGAAACCGCCATGAAGTTCAAGGCATGGTTTAAATATAAAAAATGAATAAGTTATAATCTCGCAGGCTTCAGGTCTTTTATCCTGTGCTGTTGTTGGCAGTTACAGCGTAGCCAGGAGTAGCTATTAGAACGAAACGCTTTGATTGTGGTCATAAAAAAAATACAAAGATAAACCTAAATTTCATTATTTTGTGGCTCTATTTATTAATCTGTTGTTTTATGATAATCTGATACATCTGCTACTCATTTAAAGTCTGGCAAAGCTCAGGTTGAAAACCCTCTTTTCGGCCCCCTGAGCAACAGCAGCCTGAAGATTTGTTTTATCACTGTTACTGTTTCTGTTCAGACAACAAATCAGAACAAAAGTAGTGTTTGACATGCTACAGAATCATGTTGATTCTCTTTTTACTTGTTCCTGTCTACAATGTAATCAATGTAATGACGAGGGCTCTCTATTTACACTACAGACCTACAACGATATCCTAATTTATCAATGAGCATATGGACGACGGATGTAAAGACAGTCTTATAACATCAGATTAACCCAGAAAACACAAAGAATGTTTGAGACTGAATGCAGAGTTGTTTCCTCTTTTCCACATGGTTTTAATACAGCAAACAAAGCAGAGTGGAGAACAATACTTTTGAAATGGGAAAAGCAGAGAAGTGATTAAAACACTGGCTTGTGTTCAGTTTGGAGCTCTTGAAGCATGAATAATTCAAAAAGGGCAGTGTGCCTTTTTTTTAAGAAGTAAAAAAAAAAGTCCATACTTGCACAACTAGACCACTTTGTAGGTGTCTTAAGTCCTTGTTTACACATGATGGCTTGTTAGTACAATGTTGTAAAATAAAGCAAGACAGCATTGACTCATCATCTGAATAAAATGACTTTAGTTTAATAAATATTCTTAAAGGACAAAACCAAAAACCACAACTGAGAACAAAAATAAAACTCTGGCCTCTTTAATCTGAAAAGAAAACTTTTAATCTGTGACTTCACTCTGTAACAAATTAAAACTAGGAGGAAATGACAAACAAGGTGAGAGAGAGTGATGCATGACACGCTGGTAGATGTTATTCTGAAGCATCTTTGGGTGCACTCACACTAGGCAGTCTGTACTCAGCACGCTTCACCCCTAAAGTCAGTGGACAGTCTTCATTATGGAGAAATCCCGAGTGTTCTGGCTGTATCTGACTAAATGACTCAAAATAAGCCAAAAAGTCAGTAAAGTAGCTGCCATGTTCTCTGTGTTGTTCATGCACTAAGCTGTTGTTCTCAGATGTGCTGACACAGACTCGACCGCGCGTCCCTTTTTTGTTTTTGTCCGTCTGTCTTGTAAACTAAGCACGCTTCATAAATACGTAAAGCTGTATGTGCCTAATGTGACGGATGAAGTTTTTATTGCCCTTGCACCAGGATACATATTATATTATACATGTGTTAATCCTTTGCAAGAACCATAGCGAGGGAGCTTTGTTACTCTTCAAGCACCAACATTCCCCATCATATTAGTTATAACCAACATTTTTTTATTTCTTAACACTCTGCTTCAAATAACTCAAGAGTTTGGAAAAAGTACAAGTTGGTTACATCAGGGAGTGTGTCCACTAAACATTATGAATGTGTAAAAGAAGCTGTGAAAAGATAACTTTCACACTGGTCTTTGAAATCAGATTCTGAATTTAGATTCAGATCAGCCCATCAAACAATATGCAAGCCTCAGAGTACACAGCACAGAAGCTGTAGAGATCGAGTTCAAGATAGATTTATGTAGACCAGGGATGTTACTAAAGTCAAAACATAGAGTTTCTTTAAGAATAAAAGCTACTTAAACTTGTTTCTCAAAACAGGAGGGTTTAAAGACAATAAGCCAGGGAGCTACAACAGAAGTAGGTTAGAATTATAAAAGAGAGTCTGATGAGTAAAAAGAAGAAAAACAACCATCCTGCATCTTATGAGACGTAAGTTTGTATGACCTTTAGTGTTAAAACAGGAAACAAAGTCAGTTTTTACTGCATCAAAGATGTTTGTTGTGCATCATTCATTCAGTGTGTTCAGCCTTGTGTTAGTGTGCGTATGCATTATCATCTGTATTCTCACTCACAGCTCAGTGCATTAGTCATCCTGACGAACGCACAAGGCCAGACACCTGTGTCTAGGAGGGATTAGAGGATTCCCTCAGTGAGGAGAGGATTATCAGAGTGAACCGGCCCCTATAGTGATGGAGGAGGAAGATACCCCATAATATCCCCGATCGGTCCATTCATCTTTTGTCTCCACAGCAGGAGACAGCAGCCGGGAGAGACACAAACCAAATCACCCTCTGAAAGTATTTGCAGTGTTGGATAAATCACACAAACTTTACAAGAACTGATGGGTACTTCAAAAGCAGCTCTCATGTACCTTTTCTTTTCCTGTAGCTGTCCCTCAGCCTGACTGTTTATCTTTATGATAAAGTACCTCCTCTCCCACACAGGGACAACAAAAACAGGTTTTTTACATCTCTCTGGAATTCATAAAATTACGCCCACATGATGTAGTGTAAAAAGCACAAGCTGACTGCTGTGAATCTGACGTTTACAAAAATATACAAAGAAACTAAGTTTAACATGTCTAACTACTTGCAGTTTTCTGGTCATTTTTAATTGGTGTGGTATTCTAAGTAAAGTAACTTTGTAAATGTAATAGAGTATTTCATTTTTTAAGAGCATTCTT